GTTGCTATATACATCTATATACCTGTATGACACTACCAGTTCTGTATAACTCTGATACTATACTCCTATAGTGACATGTAGTATATACTCTGTAACAACATTTGTATAATATCCCCTATATACTGAGCTAATACTTACATGTATATCTGTATACTAACTCTCTGTATAATGTCATATATTCCTGTATAATTGTATATATTTCTGTACTAACTGTATATATTTCTGTATATGTCAATACTATTCTGTATATTTCGTAACGCTGAACTTGTTGTCTACTTGAGTTCCACTCATATGACAAGAGTTTAACTATAAACAGGTTCTCAATTCCTATTGAGAGTAACTCAATACCAAACATTAACCTCTAGGATGATCTACCATAACGACTGATGGTAACTCCTGTTGCCTTGTACTCGTTCATCTCGACCTGCAGTCCTGGTCCTCGGATAAGCAGCATTAATTGACAAACATCAACTCGGCTTACTTCGCCGTCTATTCTGTCTTAGAGCGCAGAAACGAGGGTCTTGGTGACCGAGGGTTATTGGCTTCACGTTGTCCTGTTTCCAGGCCTCAGACCCGGTGCAGCTTTCGCTGAGCCGCCTTCTGTTCATTGCCTGAAGCCGTTGGCCGCGCAAGCCGTCTTCCAGGGTTTCAGTGGCTGATGGAAGCGCAGCAGCAGCGCCTTGAAAGCCTGTTCGACAGGATCCGCACTTTTGACTTAAAATGAAGCGTCCATCGGGACCCGGGGTGACGTGTGTTTTGCCGCTTCTTTCGCCGCTTGGAGGCTTCAACTTTAACCCTGCCGCGCTGCTGTCACTCCATTCTGTGCCCTGCCGTCCAGTCGTTTATTCCCCGCCAGACGGCACAATAGACGTGCACCGCTTTATTCTGAAAAACTCACTGCAGTGTACCTGGAGCCATGCTAACGCATAGCGCGTTAGCCTGCTGAGTCCAGCAACGAAGGCCCTGTTAAGCCGACAGCTACCACCTGAAATTAGAAAGTATAAAAAGGGAAGCCGAGCCGTTCTTATGCCTAATATTATAATTATTTAAATTCAGTTTTGTTGTGAACATTAAAGCCAACGAGAAATAAATAAACGCGACTGAAGCGTTGTTACGGGAGCAATCAGTCTATACAGAATATATACAGTATACAGAATATATACAATATACAGAATATATACAGTATATAGGATATATACTGTATATATATATATATATATTCATATATAATCCTGTTTACATTGTGTTCTCCACTTCTGATGGTGGATTATTTAGTTGCCATATTGAACTAATTTGTTTAATATGGCAACTAATATATAATAAATAAAGTACTTCAAAGGAAATGAAACATCTGCAGCTCAGAAACAAACGCTAAATGGATCTCGAGCTGATTTTATTTTGACAACTATGACAACAAATTTGACTGACAACTTCCTGTTTCCGTCTGCGAACTTGACTCAGCTGCACACATTCACACACCACAGAAGAAGAGTCCTGTGCTGCCACCTGGTGGTTGATTCAACGGTCCATAACTGAAGACTGATTCTTCCAGTGATCTTCTGTTATAACTCCACTTATATATTAAATATAACATCCAGTGAACTGCTGACCACTGGACTCCAACCCCCCCATACAGAGTTACTGCAGAACCTCGACCATCTTCATCAAAACAGTTGATTAAAAACAATATAATTCATTAAAAGGCAACTTGTTCCAGTGAGAATAACCTATAAATTAACCTAAATAAATTAACTAGCTGGTTAGCTTTTTGCTAACACAATAACAACTGAAGTGTCAGTTGGTCGTATCCGGATCTTCTGGTTCGTTAGTGGTCAGTGGCAGGAAGTGAAGATCTGTAAATGTGGATGATGTGAACCCTGTACCCGTCCCCCCCGGTAGTAAAGCGCTGACACAGAGGATTGTAAGAAAAGTGTCCGTAAAGTTTTATTCAGTCTCAGTATGACCAGGGTGGATTACAGACCTGCTGAAGTTTAAACAACTAAACTGTTGTGGATTTCATAATCATCTGTTCTAATCTTCTCGTGGTTGATTTTGGGTTTCGTCTCCATCTTGAACCGAAATGGAAGCTTTGGTCACATAAGAGTGAAAAAACATTCGAGTACAGTGCACTTTAAAAAAGAAACTTTACAATGAATCAAACGGAGCGACTGATCGACGTTAAGGCAGACAGACTGAAGCTCCGCCGGAATGACCCCAAACATCTGAACACAGGCTACAGTTAGTGAGGATGAGGAGAACGAGGAAGATGATTAGCGTTCATTAGTTAACTAATACAAACATATACAAGGCTTTTTTTATTTAGTGACATTACACTTTAATAATAAGAACGGGAACCGAGAGCTGGACTCAAAACGCCGTCACACAGCAGCAGCACAGGAAGTTCACCGACACATTAAAACCACCCCCGGACACCGCCAAAATAAGACGAGAGAACAGAAGAGGAGGAAGAGATGAGGACAGAGTGACAGAAGCAGCAACCAAACCGGATAAAGGAATAGAGAGGACAGACAGACGGACGCCAGCAGCTGGACCGGACCGGACCGGACCGATCCATCAACGTAAAGAATCTCCATGGAGCCGAATCCTTCCGGTCCGAATCCTAAAAGTCTCAAAATCATCACCAATCAACGGTTTCAACTCCCTGCAGTAAAACCACAACGTCACTTTAAAGCTGCAGTCGGTCACTGCAACACACATCACGTACAACACGTCTGTGTGCTGCAGAGAACCCAGAGAACCCAGAGAACCACAGAGAACCCGGTCTCCTTCTCAAACACGGCAGTAACACAATGTGAATATTGATCCTTTAATCTGTGTCACTGCAGCAGTTTGAGCCACAATAATCAGCTGTTTCTGGGATTTATTGCCAATAAACGATCAATACGATGCTGAAATAACTCTGAACAAACAGCTTTTAAAATGCTTGTTTTCTAAATGGAGTTTGGTTGATGAGGGTTATGCTAACTTCCTCTCTTCCTTTTCTGTCTCTATAAATAATGATTGATTGATTGATGGGTTATCTGTCTCATGAACGACTGACAGCAGATACGACAGTTACCAACTGCAGCTTTAAGTGAAGTTTATTTTGAGCTGTTTTTATCTCTTTATGATTCCTGAGTCTCAGAACTCTGAGACTCAGGAATCATAATAATAAATAATTGAGCTTCTGTAGATTTTAGATGTTTTTAGACTTTAATGACTCATTAACAGGGTTCCCACTGTTTTCCACGACAATATAGATTATTTCATTTCATTTATTTTCATTTGCTCATTTTTAAACATTTACAGGTGTTTCCATGAGAAGTGGTCTGTAAATGTCCAGTTCTTCTAGGATGAGTGGGAACTCTGTTAAAGACAGAAGGAGGGTCGGTCCACCTCCTCTTAGTGACATTCACTGGTTCACAGGCGAGAGCAGCTTCTGAACGACCACGCCCACTTCAGCTCAAACCAACCCTAGTTAATGACAGACAGTCAGTG